CGGCGGAAGTCCGCAAGACAGCCAATCAATATGTTGTTTTCCGTAAGAGCTAGAAAGTTATTACGGAAAGCAGCATATTGATTGACTGTCGCACGAACTTCCGCCGCGCGGTAAACGTTGCCGCGTTCTGTGTGCAGAAGCCATAACTTTTCCGTTATCGCATCACTTCACAGTACAGAAACAGAAAATAGACACCTAGTTTACATTAAAAGTCACATTGAAAAGCATTCGGAAATACTCGACACACGAAGGTACACGGTACCTCCACTACTTTCCCACTGAAATCACGAAAACACACGAGAGAGTGATGTTTTTGAACGCAGCCTAAATGTTGTTAGAGAGCCTAAAATCAGAGAGTTGTCAAATCGTCACGTGACCGGCTGCGCGCTGATTGGCTCAGGGCGCGTGGAGCTCCATCTGAGAGATATATGCAAATTCAAATAATTATATATAATACATGTAAATACTTATCAAACGAAAAAAGATACAATTCAGCTTTAAAATCCTTACCTATTTAATCTTCTTAATTTAATCTTTACGTTCTTCCTATCACTGTCACTCTAATAGCTCCTGCCTACAGGACGCGTAATGCTTGCCGCGTGGTGGGAGTCCATGCGACAACCAATCAATATATTTTTCCGTAAGAGCTAGAAGGTTATTACGGAAAGCAGCATATTGATTGGCTATCGCGCGAACTTGTGCCGCGCGGCAAGCATTACCGCGTTCTGTGTGCAAAAGCCATAATGCAGGATTTACACCGCGTCCGATATACGACGTTCGATATCCAATAGGAAAACAGCTTTCTAATAGAGAATTCAATTCTCCATTGGAAAGCTGTTCTGTTATTGGATATCGGACGTCGTACGTCAGACATCAGACGCGGTGTGAATCCTCCATAACCTTTCTCTCAAAATCATGCGCCCTGAGCCAATCAGCGCGCAGCCAATGACGAGTTGACGACTCTCTGATTATAGGCTCTCTAAAATGTTGTATGTCGATAGCTGCGTTCGCTTTGGACGCTTATGCGCTGTAAGCATCATTCTATCTTCTTCCCGCATGTAACAAGCAATAAAGATAGAATGACGCTTACACACATAAGCGCCCAAAGCGAACGCACCCGATGTCGGACGCAGTACTGGTAGGCTACTGGTAGTGGGGGTACTATATATACTGAGCGGCAGGCGCTACGAGTCTGCGCAAATGATAAACACGGAGAGAGTTATTGCCAACGATGGCGCGACTACCAAACAATACAAGCAGAGAACAACACACAGCCGGATGCTCTGTTGAACAATTGTCTGGAAAATATTCCCGAATATTCCTGCGTACATCTACGGGGTGTACAAAAGTTTTCGCTATTAGCTGCATGATTTTTTAATGCGCATCGTAATTTTCATACAAAATACATCCATCTAGGTAAATTGAATATTTTAATTAGCTTCTACACGATATTTCGCAAACTTTCGACTATTTTATCCTCAATTCTTTACCCGATTTTGCCTCTTTTAAATTGTTCTAAATGTAATTCTGTATTTCATCATTTCTTGGTCATGTCTTGCTTACATTTTATTATATTGATGCGTAATATACGATCACTTGCTGAACGTAAAGATCATATATATAGTAGGTTTTCTTTGATGTTTTTTAGTTGGTTTGTGGAATAAGTATTTATAATTATAATAAGTATTTATAAAGTAATTTGTATTCGACACGATATTCGAGAAATTTCGTTATCACTCAAAGAAAATTACTATTTGCACCGGTGCAACGTTCATGAGTTACTTGGCGCGACTATCGAAGAAAAACACAAGTGGAGTACAATACAAAATTGAGCAGTTCACCGAATAATTGTTTGGAATGTCTCCAAATATTGTTACATATATCTACAAGGTATATAAAAATTCTCACTATCAGTTACATGATTCTTTAATGTACATTCCTTTTTAAAATAACGAACACAAAACGATAATAACATTACATAAGGTTTAGCCTAAATTTCAATTTAAATCAATATGAATCAAAAAGATGATTGATTCACATTGAAATTCGGCCTAAATGTAATGTAATCTTTGTAAGTTTTGTATCTATTATCAAACAGAGATCATAAATATGCAAAAGTATATCCATCCAAAGATTGAATATTTTTATTAAGTTTTACATGTTATTTTGCAAACTTTTGTCTATTGTCGTATGTCCCCAATTCTGAGTTCTTTTTTAGATATATAAAAAAAAGAATTCTTTTCACTGAACTAAACTCGAAAGAATTTTTTTTGTATTTAAAAATGAACTCAGAATACGTGACACTCAATTTTGTTTTTTCGAAATTTTCACATAATTTTCCCATAATTCCCCACGACTCGCTTGCATTGTATTATATCGATGCGTTTACTTGCTAAACATTAGACTTGTATACATTGTAGGTCTTCCTCGGTGTCCTCGGGCTGGCTGGCGAAGTAAATGGTTCATGCTCGATACGGTGTCAAGTTACCCTCACGATGCGGTGCGCAACGAGAGAACCACGGGAACCGGTCTGCACCCGATGCCGAACACCACGATAATATTCCAGCGCGAATCGTGAAAGCTACGACATGAATCGCGAAACTATCCCATTGATCTGGAGAAACGCGAATTCGGGACTGTCGTTATTATTTGCGACTCTATGTATCGTTGACATTTTCGGTGTGTTTCCGATCATCGCTTTGCCATGTGCAATCGTCCAATGTGGTAAGTTGCTCTTTGTAATTCTCGTACAAAACCGCAATCGACGAGATATTATCGCAACGGAGAAATTATTATTAGGTGACTGTAAAAAGTTGTTTTGTGAAGAAACTGAGTTCTCCGATTTTTTATTCATTATTCTCTCGGAATTCTCGCTAGAGATCTCTTTTTAATTGTCATTTTTACAAGAATATTAATTGTATATTAAGTAAAAAATCTGTTATCTATTGATAAGAAGTGAGATATTGTGGATATTTTACAGAAATAAAGGATATTTATATTTGAATGACATATATAGTATTTATTAAATTTACGATTTTCGATTGTTATGAGTTTAACTCAATGGAAATTTACGTATTACGGGATTTTAATTCTTTCTTATGAAGCTGTTATTGTTTTGTTTCTTTGGTGTCAATTGCTGAGGTCGTTGACCCTATCTGTTTATATCAGAAATATTGTATAGAGATATCGTTATGTTAGTATAACGTACAGAGAGATGTAATATAATATAACATAATATAAACGGGCAGTTCATACGCAGAAAATATTAGTTTATTCTAACAATAATAGTTTTAAGTATAAAGAAATTAAAAGAGAAATATATGTGTATCATTAGGATTATATGGGATCCCACTGGTGCTGATTGTCTTTGGTTTGCAAATTTATACCGCCACTTTGCTGGGAAGATCATGGATCATCGCCAGTAATCTGGATCCGCAGATCTCACGGAAGAATCGGTACTGTTACGAACTCTCATTCGCGATAGTGTAGATATCACGATAAAGGAAAAAAGCCGGATAAGAATATAAAGACAAAGGCTTCTTTCGATAAATTAATTTAGGAACAAAAATTTCACGAGCATCTTCAAAATTCCGGAGGAGATTCGTTCGAAATTATTCTTCGGTAATTCGTAGAAAAATAATTGATTCTGTTTCTATTCATTAATCGTCCTTTAAACGTTCGTGTTGTGTCTAAGTTCGTGTGTTATTTAAAAGAAACAAACATTTAAAAATTATAAATTCTATATTGTAACGTGACTAAAATTGCAGCTACCCTCTCGCTGCTGTGACAGAGTTAACGTTGGGTTCGCGTGCACGATCTATCGTCACTGTACTTCTGGATCTGACAGTCTTCGGTTGCGGTATTCCCAATCTGCTGGTCGGTGAGTAAAGATATTTTATGTTGTATTAACGTGTGAGAAGTGTGAAAATTTTATTGTATTGCGTTCTATGAAATTGACTTCACGATTTTGCGCTGCTATTAATATATCCACATATTATTTATATGCGCAGCAAGTATAATAATCATTCGTTCGTCTTAAAGTTTTCTATTATCGAATTTTTTGTCGAAAAAACAGAAGTTAGAGATTTATCAAATCTTTATGGATATAACTTCGAATTTTCTCCTAAATAAAAAACTGTGTATTTCGACGTTCGGTATATTAAATACAGATTGTTTCTTAGCTTCGCAGAACCTACACCTATTCGGACTCAAAGTATCAGGACTGCGTTTCGATCTCTCTTTCTGTTATTGGCTACTGATAGTTGGCGTATTACTTTGTCCGTTAATGTGGTTAGGCAGTCCGCGAGATATGAAGTAAGAGGATAAAGATAATATAATTAGTAAGCTAATATAAGCTACTTTTTATATTAAATTCAGATAAAATAAAATTTGTATAGATAACGTTTGATAAATTATTTATTTAGATATCTAGGAAAAATCATGTTATAGAGCTTTTTTGTACTTTCTCTCTTCCCCTCTCTATCTCTATATGTATGCATATATTTAATATTTATTAAATGGTTATAGATGGGTGGCGACGTGCTCTAGTGTAGCGGTTAGTTTAACAGCGATATTAGTATGGTGGGGTATTATAACTGATGATCGAATGTCCAATGCCACACCAATATCTACTTCCCCGACGTGGGATAAATTTATATCCGGGTATACAAACTGTCTTATATATAAACATGCACTATATAAATCTTTTTGTAGAAATCTTTTCCAATATATAATTATGAAATAAATTATTGATATATCAATTATACATCTATTTTTCTCTTCATAGTCTTTTAACCGTTAGTATCTTTCGTCTTTTTATCAGAAGTTCGATTAATTAAGTAATTGACAGTTGTGCGTACAAATTTTCAGTTACGGCATGCTGGCCTTTCAGTTCGACGTGCATCCAACACTAATGACGATACAAGTCGATATGCGTCGACCCCGAGACATCGACAAAGCCGTTTTTTTCTCTTTCATAAGTAAGAGATCGCTGTATAGTCTCTGAAGAGTATATTTAGTATATTTTTCATATTAATTCTATATTGCTTTTTGCGCAGCGAGCGGATCCCTGTTTGCCGTTACCGTTGGATTAGCTGTGTGGAAGTACGGCGACAGCACGACTGCGAATATCCTCGAAGCTATGCCATCAGGATCAGTTACTAACATCGCTGTGCTGTTGGCCGCCCTTCAACTGTGCTTCTCCAGCGTAATCGGCTATTCGGCGCTTTTCCAACATTTGGAGGATCAATGGAGTGTGCAGAGAAGTAAGCGTAGAAATATTTTTCATGTGTTACGACATTGTGATGTCTGACTTGAAAAAAAAAAAACTTCTTTGATACACACATAGTCTCAGTGTTCATTGTCAGTTCTGTGAAAATTGCTCGAATTTACAACTTCTCGTTTCTAAAGAACGAGATCTGAAATTATATATGTGGAAAGAAATTTGTAGTTCAATGTTTTTCCTAATTCATAATTTGGAATGAAACTTAATTTCATGCCTTACTACAACTCGTATTTACAATTCGTTGTATAGTTTTAGATTTGAATACACAAATTGTTGTAATAGACTTGGATGTTTAAAATAATGTTTATTACAATATTAACAGCCTTCGGATGGAAACGATGCGCCATGAGGTCGGCGGTAGTTCTTCTCAGCGTAGCCGTGGGCGAATCGGTGTCACGATTCGACATAGTCATGGCTTTAATCGGCGGATCGTTGACCGGATCGCTAGTGTTCGTGTTACCACCTTTGATATATAATCGAGCTTTAGCTTTGAAACAGAAGTCGACCCAAGCAGCGATCACACGAGAAATTCACTCGAGTTCTCGTAGAAAACTCAGCGATGAAGAGGAACACTCGATGGATTCCGAAGCTCATTCGCGTTCGATCTACTACGGTTTTCTAAGTGCCACGAATAATTCTCGCAGGTATTAAACATACACGCACTAACACGAATATCTAGATGCTTTATATTAGAAGCTTACAAATGTTCATCAGATCGTTGATGATTTCATTGGCTCAAAAAATGAATTATTTTATCAGAAAAAAGAGGATAATGATACTTTGATTTGATAAGTGCTATTTTACTATTACTAACAAAAAATATAAATTCGACGAACTTTTGCAAGCCTTAATATCTGGATACATCTAAAGCGATTGTTGCATTAGTCACCAATACTTAAATATTACATCAAAGTTTCGCGATCAAATTTCTCTGAATACTTCGAAAATATGTCTTCTTATACTTATTATACTAGTTATAATAAATATAAAGTTTACCGATACTTAACAACTATATTGTTAGTATTATATTAACTTGTTAGTATTAACTTAGCAATACGGTTTTATGAAAAAAAAATTGTTTTATGTCTATTATAAGAAATGAAAATATTTGATGAGTCGCACATATATTGAAATTCCAAATTTTCGACAGATATACGTATCTCTACTACGACGATTTAACGGACGATAAGATAGATTCACAATCCAAAGAATTTATCGATCGTTACAAAGATGATCGAGGCAAGGGAACTACTGAAATTCCGCTGACCAACACGCATCCGGAACATCCGCATCTCGTCGATGCCGCCGAATCGAATAGAATTCGAAACGTGAAACCCGCGGATAGTCCACGAGAAGAAATCACGGAGAAAACATTATTAAAGAAAAGTGAGAGATCGTGCGAGAGGATGGTTAAATGCTTCGGCTATTTTATCGTGGCAATCGGTATTACAATAACGGTGTCCTCAACGTACGTCAACGTCTGGAATACTATACGTTATGTGCGTTTTACGCCGCCATGCATCATCAACGCCACTGCAAGTCAAATCTCCGCCTCATAATCGTAATTTTGGAAAGAAGTAAGCAAAGTGCTTACACACTAGTGTTACAAGTAAAAATAATTTTATAGAAAATAATCGAGTCATGTAATCTTTTTGTTTCTTTGTCCTCCTCTATTTCTTTCTCTCAAGTTGAATTTGACATTAACATCAAGTGCGGTTCGATCGTTATTTTATAAAATTCTTATATTTTCTTTATATTTATTTTGCAACATGTTTGAGCGTATATATCAAGTTTACAACTTGTACATTAATTTGTTGTACATAAACAAACAAATTTTTACAATCTCTATATCCACTCAATTTACTCAATTTATTCAATTTAACAAGCACGCGCATATATATTAAGTATTGTAAAATAGTTAATATTATATCAGTCACGAATATTTACTTTAAATTATCGCACTTAATCTCGCACTCACGCTTCACACATCGACACACATGCACGCCACCTAACTAAATCCACCAGTTACGGATATTAAATTTTCGATAAATGTAAAATAATATTCTTAAATGATCAGTATATTAATATTATTTTGGCAATTGTACGACAAAATAATAATAGTAATATACAAATGCAAGTAAAAAAAATTATTATAAATTTTTACTATAAATTGTTATAAATTCCAATTTTTTCATTATAAAGAATTAAATCTACCATAAGACATAGGTAACATAAAAGATGAATTATCCAACAACCTATTAAGTGTGATATTGGACGTATCGTCATATGTTACAGCAGGTGCTCCTACATGATAACCAGTAGCTTCTTTCGCCTTGATACTCTTTATGAACACAGTAAAAAAGATACAAAGACTTCTATTAAAAATGGTACAAGTACATACACATTATTGTTATTAAATCTTTGTATATCAAACGCAATATACAGGATGTTGGAAAACAACATAGCACACATTTATCTGTGTTCCTCAGACAATTCTAAGAATAAAAGTTCATTCAAGTAAACATATCCGAAACGGTTTAGTTTTTGAGATAGAAGGCTTTGAAAATTGCAATTTTTTTTTTGTAACGATAATAACTTAGAAACTAATGACAATTAAATAAAATTTGGCATATGTCTGTGCTTAAGTAAACTTTTTCTGAAAATGCCAAAAAGGTTTTGAATGAAAACTAAAAATAAGGGTAATAGAAAAAGCATGGAGTAGTTTTAACCTTATCTTTGTGAAAAAAAAAAATTTTGTTTAAATATCAGATTTTAAAAATTCAATGTTTTTAAGACAATTTATTATTATTATTTATTATTATTATATTATTACAAAAAAAATTGCAATTTTCAAAGCTCTCTATCTAAAAAACTTATTCATTTCAAACACATGTTTATATAAACTTTTGTTCTTAGAATTGTCTGAGGAACACGTAGATAAATTTGTGCCATGTTGTTTTTCAACACTCTGCATATCACATTAAAATGATGCGATTATTTTATAAAACCAATTTTTAGTTTTTGTAAAATGTCCGCGAATTTCTTATCTGTAGCGAACTTACAAATATTCTAAAAACTGAATGATTTATTCTAGTGAGCCGTGGTAAAAAAGATGAAAAGTGTGTGTTTAATTTAAAGCATTTAAAGTTCATATTTTTCCACTGCAATACTGATTAATAATACCAGAAATAAGAAAATTCACACTTAAAATAAAAAAAAATATATCTATAAAATGACATTTGTAATCGACCGATAAAACTCGGTCTACAATAGGTATAATAAAACCTTTAGTCTTTTGATGTAACAAGTAAACCTACCCAAAAGTTATACTTCAATTTCTTTCTAATTTGGCACAAGTGAAAAAGTACAAAAAATATTTAGGTCATATTTTTTTATTTTGGTCCACTTTGAGTTTCACGGGCAGTTTATAGCTTTTTAATGTTCTTATTCCTATCATTAACAAATGCATAATAAAATGCATAAAAAATAAAATTGAATCCAAGATATAGACGTTTTTAATTTGCTGATTATGAATATAAAATCAAATGTGTAAAATTATTTGTATAAATAATAAAATGTTTAAACAAAACATGTAAAAAGTTGAAAAAAAAATTATACAAATTTCTCGGTTTCGCCGAGATTCGAACCATTTTTTATTAATTTAGTACAGATTTGAAATATTTCAGTTGGAATCTCGGCTAAAAAAAATTTAGAATGATTCGTGTCTCAGCTATGCCGATTTTGTTAAAATTATTTAACTATATCTTGTATTCAATTTTATTACATATGCATTTTTACTGCACTTGATGATAGGAGTGAGAACATTAAAAAGCTATAAACTGCCCGTGAAACTCAAAACGGTCAAAATGAAAAAATATGTCCTAAATATTTTTTGTATTTCTACATTTGTGCCAAATTAGAAAGAAATCGGAATGTACCTTTTGGATAGGTTTACTTGTAAGCTTTAAATTATAACATAAATTCTAATAAAAAGTTTCCCGCACTGTCAGAAATCGTAATACAGTTTAAAACTTATTACGACTTTAGGTAGCACGGAAAACTTTTTGTCGGAAATTACATCAGGATTAAGAGCAAAAGGTTAAAGATTAAAGGCTATATCTATATTATAGATTAAACCCAATATTCCGATCTATAAAATACTTTGAAAATTTTCCTTTTCTTTTAACAGTTGATATATAGTTTAATGACAAAAGAAAAGGTGAGAAAAGATAGATTAAAAAAAGAGACTACATTATGTTACATTAATTTATGACAAAATGTAGTGTATGTAATTTCTACTGAAAGCCGACAACGGCCGAAATGTTTAGAAATTTATCATATATATATTAAAAAAACTATTCACAACCAAAATCTAATGTTGGCTCTCATATATGTGTGTGTGTGTGTGTGTGTGTGTGTGTGTGTGTGTGTGTGTGTGTGTGTGTGTGTGTGTGTGTGTGTGTGTGTGTGTGTGTGTGTGTGTGTGTGTGTGTGTGTGTGTGTGTGTGTGTGTGTGTGTGTGTGTGTGTGTGTGTGTGTGTGTGTGTGTGTGTGTAGATCTCAATTTGTTTTTTGATTATACATCGGAAAATTCGTTATTCGTTCTTTTGATTATACAAATTTGCTCGATCAATCGTAAGTAATAAATAAAAAATTTTATGGATCTTATCTTTTTATTTTAACATATTTCAAATGAATTTTTGAGTTTGTATTTTCTTGTTTCTGATGTCATTAATCAAAAAAATTATTAAGTAAGACATTAGAAATTGAGATATTACCTGAGGTGGATGGTGAGCCAGAGCGTCCCGAAGAATGTTACTTCTATTCGATATAACAGAATGGCCCTCATTCATGCTTAGAGGCATCTTAAATGCTGTCAAAGAGGTTTGTTGCTCCATCGAATGTTTATAGGCTATGTACGCTACGAAATATTATTTTCATAAAATATAAGATAGCATGGAATTGATGTTTGAATTACAGGATAAGTGAAATTACCAGGATTTGTTGTTAATGATGAGACTTTAGCTACTGTAGGATAAGTTGGTTTAGACTGTTCTGGAGTCTCTCTGGATGGTTGCAACATAATTGAGGAATAATCGTAATTTTTTTTACTCGGACCGATCGAATTCTCAACTAACCAAAGGAAAAGAGAATTTTTTATTAATTTGAAGAAAAAAGAGGAGAGTCATTCCTCTCCTATATTGAAAATGTTATATTTTTTTAAAGCTCCTACTTCCTTGCTGCAATAATCTTAGTTAATAATGTCAGAGGCGGGGAAATATATGTCGATTATTTATGATTACATAAAATATGTAATAATCAATAAATAGCTATAAAACTAACATGATACGTAATCTATATAATCTATATAACCTATCTTTTTTTGTTTTGTCATGTTAATTTTATTTATTATTTTTAGGCAAAGTGTCACTTTATGGATATATCTTTTTATTTCAATATATTTTACATGTATTTTGGATTTGTTTTCTCGCTTCTGACGTCATTAATCAAAATAACCACAACAGGGAACCAAGAGCTTTAATGTGAGAAAGTGATTAAAAAATTTAAGAAATTTGTTCATTCATTGTTCACGATTTTTCGGGAATAACTGAATAACCTTGTAGCTTCTTTAGGCTTTATATAAGCACAAATATAATAAAATATCTATGATTTGTTGCTTTTACAAGAGTCTTACATGCAATCTATAATACAATTTGCAGGGTGTACAACTTTATATACTTACTAGAAAATGATAGAGGATTCTTAATTGGAATAGATGATGGTGCTTTACATACTGATGTGGGAAATATATTTCCACGTAGAGGTATATTTCGTGGCATAAATGTTTCCTTAGTAGATCCCTAAAGTAAAAACTGGGACATTAATTTATACAATAGAAACACTTGAGATTTTAGCTGAAGATTAGTTTACAAATAAATTACTTACAGTTGTTAATATTTGTTGTTCAACAACACTAGATTCATGTAGAGAACCAATATTTCGTGTTGTTGGTAATAGTTGAGGATGTGTTACTTTAGTATTCACTGTCGAATATATTCCTACAGTCGATACTTCTGAGTATATACTAGAAAATCAAGATTTCATTATATAAAGCTTATAATTATCAAACTTTATACAATTAGATATCACAATTAACATAATAAACAAACTTGTTCTCTTTTGCAAATTGTTTTCTAGTTCCTTCTTCATGCAAAACTCTCTTCAGTTCTGTAAACAAATCATGCTTCTCCATTTCCAACTCTGAGATTTCACCGTGCAAATTATTGATCTGTTCTTGTGTCTCACCAAATGTCATTACATCTTGTTTCTGTTGGCGTTCCCTTTCTTTACGCAAACGTTCTTCTTCTTCATCAGCTTCTGGAGTTAAATACACAACAGTGTGAATTTCAAGTACTATATAAGTTATATCAAAACAAGTCAATTTTCTTCTTTCAACTTTTATTTTACCTTGTTTTTTACGTTGTCGTTCTCGCATGATGTGAATCTTTAACGCTTGCCACATTCGCTGGTTACATTGCGAAGCTCCAACCAGTACTGATGGCATTTTCTTAACTTCACAGTTTTTCCTAACCTTACTCAAGTCACTCTATTATGTTAACTTATTATACTAGTTACTTCCAGAATCATGTCTTTAAATCAGTTTTTCAGAAACTTCCGAAAATTATATCTGATTGTTTATATTGTATACTTCCTCAATAATTGACTGAGTGCACCTAACCATTAGTGACCTTATGTCATTGCTCTGTTTACATTGTATAGTTTCAGTTTCAATATATGGCTGAGCACACTGGACTCATTGTATATCCAAATGTATATTTAAGTGGTCTGTTTTTTTTAACTGCTCTGTTGAACTGGTGCAATATATTGAAGTGAGACAAAGGCGTTCAGCAGAGAAAGCTACTTTGCAACTGTGTAAAATTCGTGAATCTGATTGGTACATGCTCTTGGATTCAACCAAAATTAAGAGCATGCTCCAATTAGATTCACGAATTTTACAACAGTTACAAAGCAGCTTTCTCTGCTGAACGCAGCCATTGGTACATGGGTACGGTCCAGCGAGCGCTGCAAATGCTTTGTAGCGTTTTTACTTCTTTCTCTTTCTTCATTCGAATCTGAAGAATAGAACAAGAGGGAGAAACGTGCGCAGCATTTATTGTTGGATGCACCCTTTAAGTACAGTCTTAAGATGTCATGAACCAATCACAGAGCTATATTCGCATCTTAAGACATTACTTAAGACGGTCTTGAAATAAGATTCGACTATGAATACCGCCCTTAGTATATTCTATAGGAAAATATATTCAGCAGTTTGTGAAGTACGCCAATGCGGCGTGATTGTCGCTGATCGTTTTCTTTGAAAGATGGAGAAACAATTTGCAGCCTGCCACGAATGTATTTTGTCGAACAGATTTAAACTTCAGGAATTCAATATTACATGATTTGTAATTTGTGATCTTGAAGAAAGTGAAGTAATAATGAAATATGAAATGAGACTGAATAATTAGAATTAAAGCAGGTATGTTTTTATAGCGACCATCATGTGTAATGTTCAATAGACACTAATAATAAACAATCATCATTATTTGTATAATATGAATATTATGGTGTAATATGAAATAATATTTGTTATATAACATAACATTGATTGTATTTATATTTACTTATTAATTGTTTTGTGTAATTGATATATAATTATATTTGTATGAAGAAAATTTTTACTGTTTATTAGCTATCAACTTTCAACATGTTGCATGAGATTTTACTATCACTATGGGGATGTTCAACTAGTGTATCGGAGATAATAGAGACAGACGTAAGAACATATTGTATATTAAAGCAAAATGAAACAGAAGATTAAGTATTGCATATTTTTAGATATATAATACACAAAAAATAATATACAATCTATATATAATATACACAAAGATAATATATAATCTACATTAGTATTTGAAACTATAATACTACTATATATAATACTATATATACTACTAAATATAATACTACTATATAGTAATACTACTTATGTATAATTTATTAATCTTTTTTAGTCTGTAGATCTTGAGAAATACTTACATCCTGGAGAACAAGCACTACTCAATAGGATATTAGATATAGTAAAAGAGTGCAATGTTATACGAGGTTTTATACGTGAATATTCGATACATGGTCAAGATACAAAAGGTAAGATGTTAGTGATATCCAAAGCTTGATATAAAACACTCTCTGTTACATAATTAATTAACATTTTATATTAATGTTTTGCAGAAAATATAACTCCTGGTCTTTATGCCCGTGCTCTGTGTGATGGAATGGACCAGGCACTGGAACCATTTCGTGAAGAAATAGTTAAGTTAGAAACTACAGTCTTAAACAACAATTATACTCCTCTATCATTAATCCTCTGCAGCGTTGAGAACTATACTTGCTTGTTCTCTGTTTTACATTCTATTATTCGTGAAGTAAGTATATGTTTCTTTGAAGAAATCTTATACTAATAAATTTTGTATGCTAATCAATGTATTTGATGCAATCATTTGCAACCCATTTGTTTCAGATTCGTACACAGAAACTGTATGGTTGTAAATTGTTGCAATGTTTACATCAGCGTATGCATACTGGTATACCCAAGATCAACTTTGCTTTGAAACTGTAAGAAATTTTTAATGAAGCCCGGAATATTATTAGCAGTGTTTTTATCTATTTATTTTCAGGATGGTTCATAACATTCACATTGTTTTCTACAAGCATTTAACAAGCTGGCTCTTATATGGACAATTGGAAGATGTTCATAGAGAGTTCTTCATACAGAAAGTATCAGACTGTGACAGAACCTTAGTGCACGTGAAGAGTAAAGACGACGTTGATACACGCGAATTGTCGATCAGCAAGAAATCAGACGTTGATATGTGGGACTACAATGTCCAGATCGACATGCTTCCATCATACATCAGGCCATCGTTGGCAAACAAGATTTTGACTATTGGTCAGACCGTCATTATGTTCGGAAACGATCCCAGACAGAAAAGAGGTAATATCTTTAGAAAAACGACTTCAAAATTCTTCAAAATATGCTACTTAATTATTGATATTACTTTAGGTAATAAATTTGCTACTTAATTATTAGTATTACTATAAAAATTACAAATTAGTATTATTATAAAAATTACACAAAGAAATTCTAATACTCGATCATTTAGATTTTAGCATGACGTCTAAGACGGAGAATTCGGTGTGGGGTGACAAGGAATACGAATTCTTCAGAAAACTTCAGAATCTTCAAGCGAAGTCCGTCTTCAACATCGTCGAGTTCGATCGCACGATCAACGAGTTGAAGCAATGCGTGACCGAGCTTCTGTGGCACGTCGCTGTCGAAGAGGCGCAACTGATGCAGCAACTCAGGCTGGTGAAGGAGTTCTTCCTAATGGGGCGCGGTGACCTGTTTCTTGAATTTATCAAGCTCACAGCACACATCCTTAACAAGGCGCCGACGAGTCACACGTCTAGAGACATTAATCTCGCATTTCAGATAGCATTGAGGAAAATGCATTTGAACGACGAAAGTGCAATTGACAGTTTTAACTTCGCTGTGCCCGTACCCCCTTCCGAGAACGAAGACACTGATACAGATGCCACCGATTTTCCTGATGATGAGAGACAAGATCCTAATGGTATATATTTGCAGCATTTAATCGTTATATCTTATTTCTGAGATGTTTAAGATAACGTTAAAATCGAATTTTTTCTTCAGAGAAACGTGGCTGGGGTACAATTATCTTAAAATATAAAGTCGTTTGGCCGTTGCACTTGTTGTTTAGTCCAGTCTCATTAAGCGATTACAACACTCTGTTTCGCTTTCTGTTGAGAGTTAAGAAAACACAGATAGATCTGTGGAATTTATGGAGTGAACATATGCATTACAAAAACATGTAAGTGATATCAATCAGAATTAGACTTTATTATTTAAAATTAGAATAAGAATCTTGGTTTAATAAGAATTACGTTGAATGAAACTTATTATTATCCGTGAAATTTATTACGTCGAATTATCCATGATTTTCACAGCAAAGTTTTTATAATTGCAGAGATATCGGCGTCATCCAGTTGAGAAATAATTTGATTTTTATTATCGACAATTTGCAGTATTATCTGCAAGTAGACGTGGTGGAGAGTCAGTATACTGTAATGGAGACAAGTATGAAAAGTACACGAAATTTCGAAGATATACAGAAGGCGCATTCTGTGTTCTTGGCTAACGTCATGTCGCAGACCTTTTTGTTGGGCAGTGGAGCGGGAAAGAAAAATCCAGTAAGTCCAAAACTAAAATTACTTATAAATTTTAAAATTCTGTCTGATTCAACAAGCCATTTTTATTGAAGAAAATTCGATGGGAGATTTACCGAAGAATCGATGAAATAGATAAAGATTAGGCTGAAGATAATTTGTACATATATAACTTGCGATATATTTATTAAATCGTTTTCAATTTTTAGGTGAATAAGCTGATACATCTTTTGTTACGGCTATGTGACGACTTTATTTTGCAAGCATCCATGTGGGAAGTTGGAAATTTACTTTTAACGGAGAAAGAAGAACTCAAAACGTTATGTGAGACACTAGACAGCGTAATGAATTGGTTGACGAAAGCACTGAACAAAGTACGTGCGCAACCCAGTGGGGAACATTTGGCTCGATTAATATTGAGGCTCGATTTCAATAGATGGTTTAGCAAAAAAGTTTGAAGGAAGTGATTTGTGTAATAAATTATAAATAAGACGATATACTAGAAAAAGAAGATTGTATTACATTCTTTGTTAAAAAAATTAAATTATTGGATCCCCTGAAGATCCAAATAAATGAATTTGAAAAAAAATTACATAATTCATTTCAAAGGATATTTACATATTCTTTTTCCATAAGTCGTCTTGTACGTTTTAAATCTATAGTGCTTTCTTACATTAAATAATTTGTATAGTTGAATGATTAATTGGAGCATAATTAATCTAGTTTCATTCAGTTTAGTTGTTACAATGATGCTCTATGTAGATCATTCTTAAATATTTGTACGGTAAAATAATACTAATAGCGTTACGAGAAAGTATATGTTCATAAAATAATGTACATCATAACAATATATTTATTAATTTTTTCATTTTAAATAATCGAGCGCTTTAATTATTTTGTCGTCGCAACGATGAACATTAAGAACACTATGATATAATGGCGAATTATAAAATAATTGTTCTTAAATATTAAGACGAGCATTGCTCGAGAGATCTTTAGAAATCAGCGATATCGCCTAATACTCTCATTATAGGAATGTTTATATTGTTTCTATCGGATGAAAATGACATTTTTAATCACTGTCATCATTGTAATCATCATCGTCGTACTCGTGTCTGCCGTCGTATCCACTTTGTTGCGATTGTATCGCGTTTTTGATGGACGCGTCGGACGCCAATTCTTCCGCGATAAAACCATCCTTGTTCCGTAACAACACGTCCACGTTGTGTTCCAGCAGTAAATTTATTACTTCCAAGTGTCCGTGACTCGCCGCCACATGCAACGGTGTATCGCCCATTTTATTCTACGATTAACGGGAGATATTAGGAATATAACATTAGAGAAAATGAAGTACTGATAATATATCAATATAACGCGATAATATAATGAATACTATAGTATAATGAACACATAAGTCAAAGTCCGTATTCATATTTTAAATTCCGTTAAATATTGTTAAATGTTTGTTGCACCTACACTTAACGATATTAAAATAAGAGAACATATCTCTAATTCTCTAAATGTATCATTTAAGTGCGTCATCTGTACCTGAGCATTTACTGCAGGATTTGGTAAATTAAGGAGCTCCTTTGCGCATTCCACATGGCCAGTGCGCGCTGCCCAATATAACGGTGTATTTCCGGCTGCGTCTAAGCCTGTCCCTGATATACCCTGTTTCAAGTATTCTCTTAGGAAAGATATATTGCCACGTCTCGCAGCATCATGTAGTGGTAATTCAATTTCTTGTGTTTGTTCTTCGACTATTTTAATAAGAGATAAAGATAGAAGATGAGAGATAAGAGTTAGAAAATTAAAAAAATTAATACAAGAGGATGCAATTTTTCTAACCATAAGCGACAGGTATAAGTCCTTTTTGGTTTCCACATTTCGCTGTCCACCAGTTTGGATCTACATCTTTATCGTATACATAAAGAAGATCACCTTCGTCAAACGACAATTCGTTCGCCTGCCAAGAGAAAATATTATTCCATGGGTGCGTTGTGACCACAAAATGTAAGAAACATATTTCATTTTATTTTTGATAGATCATTGTGTAAGAGAAGTACTTACATGTTGTGCAGTGTACTTGCACAGAGCTCTGACCACTTTTACCCTGCCTTAAAGATAAAAACATAACGTTAATATTGATAATCGATATTATATTATGTTAGAAATGAACATTGTAGAGCTACAAAACTTAATATATTATATATGCACTGGATCGTTTGATTAAATTGCTAGTCTCTTTTTTAATTCACGTATCAATTATCGTAACATTTCTAGTCAGTGAAAGATCAATATAACGTTTTTTAAATAACTGCAACACAATTTTTATAAATTCTTTTAGATTGTGTTTCTTTACATATAATTTAAAGTATATAATATCACTCTCTGAATTTTCTTAAGATAAATTGAAGTATTGGATCAAGGTATACCATATAACCTCAAAATTATATATGTTCGATTTTTTTATTGAGCTTTAATAACTTAAATATAATTAATTTAACATATAATATACATAATCCTGTAATACATGGAAGTACATACACGTACAGAATCATATGTAAATGTTAGAGTTTTTCTCATTACTTAGTAACCATCACTTAATAAAAAGTTAAGGAAGGCTCCAGATTTTATAATGAATAATCAGATATTTTAAATTATCCACGAATAACATGAGAAGTTATTGGATAAAGACATCAACTAATATATCACCGTTTTATAATATTTACCAGGTTTCCAAGCAGTTTTGGGTGGTGTAGGTGTTTTTACAAGTATACTCATGACTGTGTGCAGCCTCTATCATCATAATAACAACCCAATGACTCACACAGTCTTATTGGCCGTAATACATAGAAATACGTTGTATACTTGTTAATACATACACTTTTGAAAAATATGAGTTATCATCTAAACTCTCTTCTTTGCAACTTTCATGAATAACACCATATCTGAAGAAAGAGCTAATTATTTAGATAGTAATTTAATATTTCCATAGATATATGTAGCACAAATTGTGTATATTATAAAAATTCAAAAGTGATATTGAGTAATAAAAGAAAACTCCATGTATATTATCTAAGAGAAAAACAAAGTATACATATATACGCATAATTATTATATGAACTACTTACTGAAAAATACAACCAAGACAAAAGCTATCATGATCCACACCCAACATCTCCACTTGGAATTAGTGTGTTCTTCCAGTTTTAAAGATTCTTTTTTCAGTTTGACAGCATTAATATCTGTCAATTTATCTGATCTTTCTAGTGTATTGATATCCTTCTTTATGATGGCACTTGCTGCTAATGCATGTTCTTTCATATTACTGGTCATGGAAAGCATATTTTCAGCAATTTTCTCTTGGATATTACGATTATATTTCAAGATAGCATCTAAATCTTCATCTTGTATGTTAGAGTTTGATAATCTCTGTCGCACACCATCCTTATTTATACCTGTAATATGTGACAAATTTAACATTGAACACAATATGTAAGAACATATTTCGATCATATATACATATTTAAATCTCAAAGAGACAGTTACCTTTATCAGCATGAAATAACTCTCCACGTAACTCACGATTGTATTTTGCAATGGTCTTCTGATGTATTTGTGTTGTGATATTTGTACTAGCAGAATCATTTACCAAAGTTGAATTCTTTGATAGTAATTGTGCAGCTGCCACCCTTTCTACTGGATTCGATAATTTCATTGCATTTATTACTCCTTTCAAAAAATCTATCCGTTTGGTATAGCCCACTATGGAATCTTTAGATGGTTTACTGTGGTAAAAAACCAACTTTAACATTAAATTATTTTTTGTATTTACAGATATATAAGACTTTATGGATATATAAGATATATAAATATGTTAGTCACACACAAGAGAATTAATATAATTACTACATCATGTAAGCAGTTGAGAATATTACTTTGGTAGAGTTTGTAGTTTGTTCATCATGTCATCCAGAGCAAGTATATACTGAAACAAAAAATACATGAAAAATAAAAGAGAAGAGTTTAATTTACAATACTTATATACAAATATATCTAAGAGACTTATAAATTTATCCACTTAATAGATTCTTTGACAATCAATTTTTAATTTTACCTTATTAGAGAAAATAACAATAATTATTATGGGATATGTATAATGCATAAGAACATATTTTAACATCATTTTATTTTTAATAATTATTGTATATTTATCCAGCTCCATTGATAATTAATAATATAACGAATAAGACAACCAAATGTAAAAATTAGTAAGAACAAAAGTCTAGCAGCTTGTAGAACCTTTTCAAGTTTCCAATCTTGGTGAGGATCATCTTTCGCTATTAGTTCACAGCGTGTCAGAAGTCTTCTGACATTAATTTCCAGCCTAGACATTTGCATCGTACTACTTTATTCCAAACACAAATGGGAACCTTCCTCGCGTTCCTTTCTTACGCGTTCCTCGGCGTAGGTTCACCATGTAGATGTCAGCAAATGACATTTCCACGTGTAGCCTGACAGACTTGAACATAAGAGGGCGTGCGCCCTAGAAACGCGCCGTATTTAAATGTTTATCTGAACTCCTTTGTCATACTATATATAAGTTTATAAATTTATAATACAAGTTTATAAATTTTAATTGAAACATAATCTCTACATACTTTCTTGACAGGTTTCAAAATCTTATGTGTCAAACATGCTTGAATCAATTTCAATACTGATTAAAAGATTGGAGCTTTAAGGTCGAAGGTTGAAATCAGTAGCCAAAGGGTTGGGACAAGGAAGAGTGGAGAAAATAATCGATGTCGAATCGTGCCATCTTGGATTCACGGACATCGGCTATTATTGTCGCGGCTTTTGCCGACCTCACGAGTCATTTTTGAAATTTGAAGAAACCGCCGAAGGAGAATTTGCTCGCCTGAAGTATTGCATACAATTTTTTTAAATACAAGTGAATAGTAACGATACGCGCGATGCAGAGTGGGGGAGAAACGGCAATTGGGAGCGAGACAAATGGCGCTGCGAAGAGAACGTCATCAGTCTCGTCAACGTATCAGTTGAAGGAGGACGAATTTGCGAAACAGCAGCAATCACCACAGCGAACGTGCAGTAGTGACGGCGTCATGGTTAAACAGAACGGCGAGGAATATGAGGAGGGTGCACAGGAGCGAATGCTCAAGGATGACAGCACCCAAAAAATCGCCAAAGACTCCACAGAGGTAAACATTACTTCCTTGACTTTTTTGTTGTCTGTCAATCATAGGTAATTGAACCTTCTAAAAGACATCTTAAGGACGTCTAAAAAACATTCTACTTTTTAGAGAGCCTAAATATCTCTTTCATTAGTATTTAAGACTTTTTTACTACTTAGGTTGTTGTTTTTAATTTAAAGTATCGAAACAATGATTGCTACGCCTTGTAGGATCACGATGCCACAAATTTGACAACCGGAACGAAAGGACCTTTTATCGTAGAAGAGTCTTTTGTCGTAGAAAGGTCTTTTGTCGTAGTCTTTTGTTACGGACTTTTGTATTCTGAATCTATTTAAATCTTTATTTGTAGTTGATTTCATTTGGGTATCAATGGACAAAGAAACTCTGCATGTATTGGATACATAGCATATGTGCGAATCAATTTTTTTCTAAAGAGCGATAGTAAAATCTTTTATAAAATATCTAATTTGTCTTTAATTTACGGTTGAAATATGATTCCGCCGTTTTCCAAATCGTGAGTGAGAAACGATCACCATGTTTCATAACGGTCACGCCTATCTCGCCATTAAGACGAGACCATCGATCGCTCTCGCGAATAACGTGGCGGCGTGCGAGCTTTTGGCACAATATGTCGAGCTAGTTTTAGCACTGATTATTTGGACACAATGTCGTTGCTTCATATATATTTGTGCATTTTTTCGTTACTTGATACAAATATGTGCAGTTTTTTAAAATTCTCGAAGCGCGAGTTGCTTATGCAAAATAAAATAATCATGTTACTTAAAATAAAAGAAGGAAAGTCAATATAGCTCTTTGAATAAGCAAATCATTCTTAGACTTGCGTCATACATGATAAGAGACCTTAATTTATTTTGAGATAAAACCGACAGATCTCCACTATGAAAATGTTTTATTAGTTACTTTTATATATTTGCTTATCACTATTTGTTGCAATTATATTGTATATTTTAAATGTTGTTTAGAAAGAAGTAATAAATATGTGTAAGATATAAACAATTACTTCTACAGTAAGTTATCAATAAAAGTTAAAAAAAATAAGAAAATTTTAATATATATTCAAAAATTAAGAGTGCTTTTATTTACAATTTGTAAATTTAAAAACAAAAGAAATATATGAAAAGTATATAAGTCATTATTTTTATGAAAGTGCTTGACAGTAGTAAATATTTGATTAATTAAAGTTCTTTAATTTTTATCTGAACTCCTTTGTCATACTATAATACAAGTTTATAAATTTTGATAATTGAAACATAATCTCTATATACTTTTTTGACAGATTTCAAAATCTTATGTGTCAAACATGCATGAGAAATGTGCAACTATGAGCCATTATGTTGTTTTATAATTATAAAAAATCCTATAATTATAATATATTTGTAATTATATAATATGTGCTATTCTGACTTGTCTCTTACTTAAGTTGGATTGCAACTCTTTGACAGGTAAAATTTATCTCTGAAAATGGCGATGCCAAGATTGATATTGGAGTGATAAACCAGGCATCTGCAATGGGCAAGGAAGAACTGATGAAATTCGTTAATGATCCATTCTGGGTGAGAATGAGATGGATCTTGTTTATTGGCTTCTGGTTACTTTGGGCTGCAATGTTGGCTGGTGCTATAGCCATTATCGTGATGGCGCCGAAATGTTCGGCACCTGAACCAAAAAAACTGTGGGAAGAAAGTCCCATTGTTCAGTTGGATAATTTGGATAATCCTACCAAACAATTGAAAGAATTAGAACCTATACTGTATGAGCTGAAAGATCTAAACGTTAAAGCTATATCTCTCTCATCTTTGATAAAACGAAGTTCGGATGGTACGTATAAATTAGGAAAAGAAAATATGTACGAGAGAGAGATAAGCTGTTTTATATGAAAAATCTTAATTATATATATTTTTTTTAAGAAAATCCACGAATAATATTAAAATTTTATTCTGTTGCAGGAGGGATCGAAGATTATAGAGCCATCCAACGAGAATTTGGAGACATCAGCGACTTGGAGGCTCTTATTAAGGTGGCGAACACAGAGGGTCAACAAATCTTCCTCGAGTTGGATCCTAATCATTCCTCCGTACAGCATCCGTGGTTTAAACGATCGGTTGAAAAGCAAGAACCATTCACGTCCTATTATGTTTGGGCTAATGGAATAATGGATGGTGGGAAGAGAAAACCTCCCAATAATTGGGTAAGTTCTAATCGCGCAATAATATCAAATCTTCTTGATGTTTTAAGGAAGATTGTTAAACATTTCCTGTCATTTCCTTTTTTATAGTTGAGTGTATACGGCGAATCTGCATGGGAGTGGAATGAGCAGAGAGGTCAATATTATCTTCATCAATTCAATAAGACGCAACCCGACTTGAATTATAACAATTCAGCAGTAGTGAAAGAATTTGGAGTAAGTACATTGCTTCATTTGTAATCGGTCGACTTTGTTTCGATCATTGTCTTATATTGACCATATTGTTTTAGGATATTCTGACTCACTGGCTGAAGTTAGGAATTAGTGGTTTCCGTCTGGCAAACACTCAGTACTTAACAGAAGATCCGGATCTTCGCGATGAGTCTAGGAGTCATCTTGCGATAGAATTTAACAATTATCAATCGCTGACGCACGTACACACGCGCGGTCGGGCAGAGAACGCAGCGATCCTGATGAAATGGCGAGGCATCGTTCACAACGCAACTGACGGGAAAGGGTACATTAAAAACTTTCTGTTCACGTTGTACTATTACGTAATGTTATCGTGTTGTCGGCTAACTATATGCCGTTGGTATTCGTGTTACAGATTATTTGCATTGCAAGATGATATTGGCGCCGATATATTGCATGTATACAATCTGAAGGACACACTGATCGATCTACCACAGAGTTCACACTTCCTCACTGCTGCTAATTTTAGCATAAACGCCACAACGCTACACAAAAGTATATCACAGTGGATCGAGATTGCGCCATGGCCCGCATGGAACGTAAGTGTCGTCTAAGTGAAGTTGACTCTATCATATAACTTTATAGATCTTTTCTGCGTTCGTAACAAATCAAAAAATAGTTAATACAGGATATTCTATAAAATCTATAGTATAAGATAATCTACCAAATGATATCTGCAAATATAATTACTCATGTTGCATATAATTACAGGTAAATGGCAAAGTGCACTCTATACGAGAACGTATGCCTCGTGACGTCGCAGACAGCATAACGTTAATGACGATGTTATTACCGGGTACGCCGATTTTCCGGTTGAGCGACGTCAGATCCACGAAGGATGCGTTTAAAATTCTCTCAAACGCTCGAACTACCCCGACATTCCTCTATGGGAATACAATGACCAGAATTGTACAAAAAGACGTCTTTGTATATACAAGGTAAATGTTGTGAAAATATATCTATCAATACGTACAAGTAGTGTCAATTTTGAAATTATATTAACGTAAAATTTAATGTACACAACATAAAGACTCGACACGCTCTAACAATATTTCATTTTTTAAATTTCTTTAAAAGAAATTTTTAAAAAAGATTAAATGATTTTAAGTTATAGAATGTGGTGATTTAATTTCAGAGAACGCAATTAACATAATATATACTATTAACCATTAATTCATATTAACTAAGCTTCCAGACTAATCACTCAAAGAATAACGATGAATGTATACTTACAATATAAATTAGTGGTGACGGGTTTTGATTGGATAATTGAATTCATTCTCGGGTGTGCAATTAAGTCTATATAGAGGTACTTCTCAAAGTCCCAGCCCGCATTCTCACGCGTCGCGTTTAGTGATAAATAGGTACCTTAATTCGTATCTTGTTGAGTACAGTTTTGTATAAGTCGCTGTGTAAATTTGAGAATACAGGCTTTGATAAATGAGATACCTCTCGCCCGCTACAAGGATTACTGTTACAGTAAACTAACCAAATATTAATTTGACTATGCTCCACGTTTTCTTTCGCATATGGTGCAGGATTGGGTGAGTTTACGTATTAATCTATTTATATTTTGCTGTAGAGACTTTATTGCATGCAATGGAATAATATAATCGACTAATCAATGAGACTCTCAACAAACATAATACATTTTTATTAAATTATATTTTGAGCTATGTGCATTTCACACGGTCAGGTCTATTTTTATTAGTACTTATTTGTATTTCTTTGCATTTTTTGCAATTTTTCTTTTTCTTTTTGCCAAATTACAGATTTGAAAATTAAGAAAAACAAACCTATGCTTGAATAAAAACCAAAAGTGCATGAATAAATGTTTCTAATAAATTTACAGATTAAAAAGTGGTAATCCGGGATATCTGGTAGCATATCATACAGGAAATGATAACATCACCATAGATTTATCGAGTATACCACACATATCAGAAGAAGTCAACATAGTTGCATATAGTTCCAACTATGCTCAAGGCTTAGAAGTAACGTAAGTATCTTTTTCTATGACAATCTATAAAAATGTATACTTTATTTTTTTTTGCAAGAAAGTACATATTTTTATATATATTAAAAAAAATATATATATATATAATATTATATATATTAGATATATAAATCATATATATACTTTTATATTATTTATTTATTTATATATATATATATATACATATAAATTATTATTACACATGCTATGTTAAATATACATTGCATACATTACGTGCATACATTTGATCATTTACTAATGTTGAAACTTTATGATTTTACACAGGAAAAAATTATTCTCAGACAGAGTGCCCATAACAGCACAAAGTGTGGTAGTTCTAACGTTTGTGCAAAAGGAATAACTTCTACCAAGAATTACACGATGCATTTTAAGTGCAAAAACAACGATATATATGATACGTCATTTTCGCTTCGATATGCAAACAAATGTGTGTAATTTACGTATTAATATCAATAATGCATTGTTCTGTACGAAGCACGCTCAATTGTTACTCACGATTAAATCAGTCGAGTCAGTTTACCAAAACCATTAAAATATATACATGCGTTTGTTTTTGTGATGTACATTGATGTTATTATATAATTTACATGTGATTAAATTTCGTAACGTGATACCGCAAATAATGCAGTTTCGGAATATCGTAATATCCCGCGTTAAATGTACATGCGCATGGATTAATCGTAGTAAATTAATTAACATATCAAACAATATTTCAATAATATGACAATATAAATTGTTCGCCAATATAATAGTCGATTAATCTCACTTGATAAATGAAAAAAAAAGTTACAAAATTTATATATGTCAGAGCGTGCTAGAATACAGAAAGAGTTTATCTTAATATATAAATGATGTGTGTACAAGTATTGCAATGAAATATATGCATATATCGCAAGCAAATACGCGAAATTTAATTTTTTTCAGAGTCTCGAATGGAGGGATCCAATACTAACCGCTATTTCTAAGTTACTAGCATTTTTATTAAAAATTCTTAGTTACATTGCGCATAAAATATTACGATAAAATAAATTCATAAACTATATCAAGATACCATATGCATTTTGGAAGAAAGAGCCAATGTTTGTTTCTTCACTTTTCAATAATGAAGATCTTCGAATAAACATTTCAAAGTGAAATGTTATGATAATAGTTTAGTAATTAAGATCCAAAATACATATATTTGAATTAACATAGGATTTTAAACTCTTTTGAAATATTTAGAAATTTCTAAGACTTCTATAATTGAAAGATTGAAAAAACAGACATATAGCTAAGGTATAGATATATTATTTTAAATACACGAGGTAACACACCAGACACACAAAAGATATACAAGATTTATTTCATTCAATGTTGAGCTTATGGGGATCAGTGAATCTCGCAGTTACAATGTAAAACAAGGCGGGTAACGGTACTAAAGCTAACATCGCGGGATGAATGTTGATCCCACGAAGAGTAGCGATTGCAATTACGCCGTACGCGTGCAACAGCCAATGACCTAAAATCACTATCACATTCTTTATATCCGAGACGGAACTCAGCAACAACGACTTCATCCTCTGGTTCAGTTTAAACGCAAAGTGCGCCGCATTCGACAGAACCGACAAGATTATAGTGATAAACGGAAATGAATAATCTGCAAAGAGAAACGTGTAATTAGCACACGGTTAGTGTATATATCACCTTTTCTATCGATTTTATAGTAACATATACAATGTGCGCGCGACATACATATTAAACCTCCACCCACTGCATGAAGCAATGCCAAGATTGGGTAGAAGTATAGAGCTGCATAGATAGAGAGCTTGCCCTGCTTTGGTAGAAATTTCTTAGCTATTAACGGTCTTATGAGTATCATCAGAATTATTCCTAGGGCATAGAAAATAAAGACTATAGTATACCTGAAATCACAATAATAAGTTGAGTGACAATAATTAACTGAAAATGTGCTTCTACTGAATCAATATTTGACAAAGTGTAAACTGACAAGGGATAAACCGCCTCCTGTGTACAATGCAGAGTCGCTTCATAATTAGGACTAGGATTGTGCAGCAACGTGTACCAGTCCGACAGTCTCTTCGCGCTGCACGACTTGATGGTGAATGTACCAATAGGATCTGTCAACTGCAACGCTATGAGGGACGCCAACAATATCTCCAGCAATGCCGACAGGTGCAGGGCGATCACCTCCTTGGGTATGTTGCGGCGCTTGGAGACCTTGTCGATGCAGAACCAGTGCAGCACAAGGACCAGCAGGGCCATGAAACCCAAGTAGAGCCAGTCGTAGAATATGGGCGCATCATCGCAAGGTACGCACGCCGACGAGGCATTGACGCGAAAACCGCGAGGACAGGCGCCGCATTCGCTCCAATTCCCGTCCGGCAATAACTGCCGGCCACAATATATGCCGGGACATCGCATAGGGTTCATGTTCTCGCGCGAGCAGTCGATTTGTAGGTTAGGTATAACGACACGTCGCGTTATCGGTCATCTCTCCGCGATTTCCAGCCAGATTTCCACATGATAACTTAATGGCTTATCTTCATTCATAAAAATCTCCTGGAATAACTGATATCTCTTACGAATATTGAGAGATGAGGATTTAAAAACATCATCAATCTCTTGTCACAAACACTGCGAACGTCAAACATTTTTTTCTCTCACTCGTGTAAACGCGAGGCGCGCACGACGTAGTGTCGCTTGCCCAAAACTCGTCGCGAACAACGGCATTCCGTCGATAACGTCACGTTGTGTGGTTATCGATCTACGAAATCGCCAATGAGGATCTCGACGCAAGTGACGTAAGACAGATAAATTATTTATAAATAAATATGGATCCCTTTTTAGACGAGACCTTCGCGACTCTGATTTTAAGTTGTGTCGACGTAATTATTGTTTCGGGATTATTATCGTACTAATTAAAGGGTTGTTAATTATATCAAAGGTAAAAACTCATCCGACACTTGACATTTCGCATAAACTAATAATATCGATATATTATTTTTCATAATGAAGCCGAAGAGATGCGTGTCGTCACTTGTGGGATGTACATAAAAATTCATCACGTCTGTAAGACGCTTCGAATTATTTCGAATGAGTGACGAAATCGAATTGAATATAATTTAAACGGAAATTTCTCAGAAAAACAAATCAGTAAGGCAAATGAAATATTAACATATTTTCTTTTGTATTTGTAAATAATTTAAGATTTAGATTTCACGTCTGAACGCCAGAATATTATGGAATGAACCTGTGAAAATTTAATTGTCATGATTCACATAACATAATATTTATATTCATAATACTCACTATAAATATTTTAATTTAATGTTGAAGAGAGCGCGTAACACAACCTGTGCGGTGTTTCCACGATTTTTTCCTCTCCCGAGGTCTGATCATTAAAAATTTTCAAAACTGCATGATTTTCCTGAGGACTCAAAAATTCACAAATTCCAATTCTAAAATACTTGGAATTCTTGTGACCAAATTGGTTGAAAATTTGCAAGAGAAAGAGAGAGCAAGACAGACACACAGAGAGAGAAAGAAAATCGAACGCTCGAGTCGGTGCTCTGTAAAGCGATAAAAGTCTATTCAGAGCACGGCGACACAGACAGTTTCGTATCTAGCACGCGATTGGTCGAGTTTTCCGTGCTCATGACGGTGCACAGCGACGCGACCCGTCTGAATAGGCCTTAAGCCGGATTCGTCGGTAACGGATCGAAACCATGCGCGGCGCCGTCTTCCGTTTCAGCGCACTGGCCGGCGCATCGATCGCAAGCGCGAACGCGGGCCAATGAGGTAGCAGGCGGCGACACACGGCATTGGCCAAGCGCGCGGCGGCCCGGTAGGCGCGCTTGAAAAGTTGATGCGCGACGGCGCGGCTACGTCGCGCCACCTGCCGCACTCGTACGCGTCCGCCGGCGATCGGCCATCTCCGGCCGATGATTGCCGAGCGCACATTACTATTTTCAGGCACACAAGGCACCTCTTGACGGATTTTCAATAAGTGAAGAGGGCGGCGGTGCGTGCGCGCGATAGAGCTCGTGGTTCTTTTTTTTTGCTCGCTCTCTCGTCCGCGAGATCGTCGCGATCGGTGGGCCTGGCGCGGTCGGTGTTGCCGCGGCGTGACGGACGGCAAAATTCTCTCGCGGGAGAGGTGCGTGGCGTGATACAGCAGCACCACCAGCACCAATACCATCACTACCCGATACCAGCAGCAGCAGCAGCAGCGGTCAGTCGGACGACGAAAAGACAGGCGGACGATACGCAGCAGCAGCAGCAGCAGCAGCGGCGGCGGCGGCGGCGGCGCAGGGCGATGTCGGGCCACGTCTCGGCGGTTCTCGGCGCCTGACGGTCGCTCGCGGTCGTTCCGCCGGAAAATGAGAGAGGCCCCCACGTCGCGGCGAGCAGCAGCTGATGGCGGCCGAGTGCTGTACTACGACGAAGTACCAAACGTACGTCTACCTTAACGTCGTCGTCGCGTCGGCGTCCGGACGTGCGAGTGTAAGGAGGTGGAGTTGTTCGGCGGTCGCCGCGTGAAAAAGAGAGGAGCTCGCAGAGAGGTAGACACCCGCCTGTTCTCGTGCCCGCCCGTTAACGTGTTACGCTCCGCTCCGTGTGGATTAACAGCGGCGGCGATCGCGCATCGTGCGTGCGTGCGTACGTGCGCGTGTGGTGCGGTGTGTGTGTGTGTGTGTGTGTGTGTGCGGGTGCACTTGTATGTGCGTGCGTGTGTGAGTGCGCGACGACGGCCACATTACCCGCGGCCATACTTACTACTATACGACGACGGACGTGCGCCCAGCTATACGCGAGTCGTTCTATTTCGTAACGGTGTTTCTCTCTGTTCGCCGCTGCTGCCGGCGCGGTTCGGCGGCTACGACTTCGTTCGGCGCGCACGATCGGTATCGTGCGTGCGTGCGTGAGCTTGTCTGCCTTCGTGCGTGCGCGAGCGAGTGAACGTGTTAAGCGGCGCCGCACCACGTTAAAGAAAGCGAGAGAAGTTTCTATCGAGCAACCGATCAACCAGTCAACGAACCAACCAAGCAGCCATCCAATCAGCCAGCTAACGGCTACCCACCACCGACCGGCGCCGCCGTCGTCGATCGAATCCTCCACCCTACGTTCGCCGTACGTGCGAGCCAGCGTTAAGGAGGACAACCGGAAAAGACCGGCTTTTGTCGAGCAGGTAGCGCGTTTCACAGCTAAACAGCAAGCTGTAAGCACGTACTCCGTGTAGGTGGGAGCACCGCTCACACGGAAGGACGGAAGGAAGGAAGAAGGATAGACAGACAGACAGGGCGTGCGTCCGCGTGTGACAACGCCTAGTGAGAGATCATCGCGCCCCTTCGTGCCGGAGGCAGCGGCTGCGGCGGTGGCAAGTGCCGGCGAGACTCCGGAAGCCGCCGCGCACACGAGACCCGAGCGCGGATTCGTGTCGAATCGAATTCTGCGCGAGCGAGCGATTGTCCGTTAGCTCGCTCGCTCTCTTTCGTTCGTTGATGGGCAGGAACGCCGTGATCGTCGTCGTTGACGACGACTAGTGGGTCGTTCCTCGTGTGCTATGCTCCTCGGACCTGTCGACGGATTGTTCGTCCTTCTATTATTACTACTACTACTGTTACTACTGTTACTGCTATTACTGTTACTGCTACTACTACTACTATTCCTGCTTCACCGCCACTATCAGCATTACTATCAGCGCTACGACCTCCTTCTACGTGCTCATCGGCTGTTCGGGATTGCGTGAACAGTGAATCGTGCTTAGTCGTGAAAGAAAGCGAATACAATCAGTATAAAATACCGCCACCACCGCCGCCACCACCACCACCATCACAACCACCACCACCATCACCATCATCACCACGTGCGCGTAGACAGCGTGTTCGTGGCGCGGTATCGCGTATCAGTTAGTGTTACTCTATTTTATGAGTGCAGTGAGTTGATCGCCATCGTCGTCAACGTTCTCGTCGTCGTCGCTCTTGCTGTCACGACGGAATGCGGCCTCCTCGGGGTGAAGGCAGTCGTTTCTAGTCGCGAGACGCTCTGTGCTCCGGGGATAGGACGACACACGGAACGGGTGTAAGCGCCGAGGCACCACCGACGCACGTGCGCCACCAAGCTCGCAGAAGCTTCGCCGCCGAAGCGTCGCCGACTCCCCACAGTGCCTCCGTTTTAATGCCAAAATGTCGTCACTGCCGGGGAATTTCGTGGACCGGATAGACCCCTTCGCCAAGCGATCCCTTAAGAAGAAGTCCAAGAAATCGCAGGGCTCCTCGCGCTATCGCAACTCGCAGGACGTCGAGCTCCAGCAGTTACCGCAGCTCAAAGGTTAGTGTTATTCAGAGTGAGCGAATGCCTTCTCGCTCGTCTCTTTAAACATAACGGAGAGAGCCGCGGATTATTGAGGCAAGACGGAAGAGAGCGAACGCTTGTACTAATAGTCTATGCATACCCAGACTAATAGGCACGGTTCTCTCGTACATTAATATATTGACAAGTTTTGCTTAGAACCGATCGATTACACTGATTCGTAAGAGAACTACTCTTTGTTTGTCTTTGATATAAAACAGAAACGAGATTTGAGAAACAGAGAGAGAGAAAGAGAGAGAGGGAGAGAGAGAGAGAGAGAGAGAGAGAGAGAGAGAGAGAGAGAGAGA